CAGCAGGTGGGACAGCTCCGCGCCAGGCTCGGGCAGCCATGCAGAGCCGGAGGAGAGAGCTTAAAAAATGCAAACAACTCTCACCCTGATTTATAAAATCCCGACGGCGAGCGCTGAGCAGGTCCCACTACAGACACTTAAAATGAACGAACGCAGCCAGCGCTTCTGGTCACCCAGAACTTCACTCTTCAGCTATAAGACTAGCGGGAGCTAGCCTGCCTTCCCCACCACGTAAAACTCCCAGAGATAATTTGTAATCAAAGCAGCCAGGAGATAAGCTTTCCATCTCAGCCCCAAGATGCATTTTCTAAGGAAGATCCTGGTGGATTTGCAGTAAATTTATGGAAGTTTTAGTGCTTTCGACAGGCGGCTTTCATGTGAACGGCGACACTAAAGGCATCAATAGTGGCATTTAAAACACGAGAGGCTGCTGTTGGGCGGCCAGGAAGGGGTCCCCCGCCGCCCCACCTGCACGCCCAGGAGGGAGCCCAGCAGCCCCCGGGCCGCAGCAGCACCCGTTTCTGCTCAGCCTCCTCTCCGTTGCCATTACACCAAGAAATCTCTGCTTGTAATGGGTAACAACATTTCCAGAGATTAAAAGTCAAAAGATTGGAGTGAAGAGTAGAGACATGACACTGAAATAAATCCCAGCCTATTTTTTATTATTAATCTCTGAGCTACTTAAGATTCTCCATCCTGAAGACGATACCCTAGCGTTTCGTCACCTCTGCACACGTGGGGACTAAGGGGTGGCTGTCCCTAGCCCAGGTCTCACTTGTCTCCTCAGTGACATGGTACCTGGCAAACCCGCCTTCGGCATTCCCCAGCTCCACGTGTCGCTGCCGGGAGCCGCGCGTCATCAACCAGCGACGGGCGGTACGTGAAGACCCTCACACCTTATCACTGCCCAGCAACTGCGGGTCTAAGCTCCCGCGACAACGAACAGGTGAAGTCTGACTCAGATCTCTCGGGATTTTAAAAGCCCATTTAAACGCATTCATTTTTGCCACATTAGTATACTGAAGCCTGGAAATAGCGACCACTTCACTCGGGGTAAATGCAAGGACAGATCCATCAGGAAGGACAGCAACAAACTGCTACCTTCCCTGAACACAGGGATCACGACGATCAGTTCTCCAAATATTTATACATGCTTTCAATGCATAATTTTGCCTAAGCTTCACTTTTTCTTGTCAAGAATTTTAGAGGCAGAATTGCAATACAAAAGGGCAGCTGAGGAAGGTAGCAGACATTGCTAACACTGGCCCCAATCTGTACCTCCACCAGTAAAAAGCCCGGTTTTCTTTACCTTTTCGGTTCATCCCCATCTGGAGGCATTTGAGCAGCCGGCAGTACTGGCATCTGTTGCGCTGTTTGCGTGACATGACGCAGTTCTTGTCTCGACTGCATCTGTAAACCCGCTTGTTGCAGATGCTCCTTTTGAAGAACCCCTTGCAGCCCTCGCAGGAGATGATCCCATAGTGCAGCCCCGTAGCTCTGTCCCCGCAGATCAGGCAGGTTCGCTGATCCACCCGCTCATCTGGAAGAGAAGACGAAAGGCTTTGCGGTCAACAGAACAGCTTCACTGAGCGATCAGAAACTCTCCCGAGGGGACTGGGAAAGTCTCGGCACTCCGTGGCCTGCCTGGACAGACATCTGCCAAGCAGAGCGCGGCGCAGGCGCTCACCCAGAAACACCGGTCTCGGCAGCCCGGCACAGCACGGCCGGAGGTGCCACCGGCACGAGGCTCCCCACCGCCTTTACTGGGTCACCACAGCAAGGGGTGCGGAGGGGTTTGCCTCCAGCTCCAGAGCTTCGCAGGCCTGCCACAAATCCAGCTCCTCACCCGCCAATAAAGTCCTTTCCATTCAACATGTTCATAGGATATTAAGTCCAGAAATTCTCAACAGTGGCAAGAAGAATGAAGAAAAGTAAAACCTAAGTTTGTTTAAAAAACAGCCTCTCAGAAATGCCCTCAGTCACACAATTTATCAGAAATGAACGTAGTTTGGGAAACGAAGCGCTGTTCAGGTCGCGAGGAGCACACGTTACAGCCGTAAGAGGCCACGTCGCTGCAGTGCCTGCCTCTGCCACCAAACGGCGTCTCCTCCCCCCATGGGCAGGAGGTAAAACCCATCACCCGGGGGCCAGACAAGCCCCCGAGCAGTTCCCCTGCCACTACCTTATGCATTCCCTTAACGAAGAACAGAGATGAGAGCAAAGAAACGGTTGGTGTTTTCCCATCAGCATGGCACAAGCATGCTGCGCTGCCCCAGAAGTTTATTTTATTCCCAATTTTCAGGTTTTTCTCGAATGCTCCTCTCGGTGCCCAGCGGTGCCAGCACCCGCTGCGGCCACGCGGTAGGAAAACCCTTGAGTTTCTGTAAGGTAAGTCTGACCAAGAGGCAGCCGGCTGTCAGGCTGGCGTGGATCCATCGCACAGCACCGGAGAGCAGCGGCGCAGCCTGCGAGGGGAGGCTCCGGTTTTCACTTTGCCAGCGCGGGGACAGGACCCTTGGAGCGGGGGCAAGGGCACGGCTCTCCCCGGCAGCCTCCATCGAACTTCGTGCTGTTGTCAGCAGAGAGGAACAGAAACCCTGAGGGGAAAAAGGGTCTGAAGTGCCCTGCATCAACTGCACGGACCAGGCTGTGCAAATGCAGAAAGCGTGCTGGGCGGACACCAATGAACGCGAAACACTGTCACACCTTGCGCATTCCCGGGGGGAAGCGGAGGGACCTGGCCACCTCCTCGCTTCCCCCTGCAGCTCCAGCAAAAGCCTCCCAGCAGAAGTCGCCACCCAGAACCCAAGTGAATCATGTTATTCATTATTACAGAAACAACGGTACGGTTAAGCCACAACGACATGATTTTACTGTTCCTTTCCCAAATCTTTGGAAGGCCTTCGGATGGCTAAAAATCGCAGGACTCCCAGCAACGGGAGCTGTCACATTACATTCAGACTCCACCCTTGCCTCTGAGAGAGAGCAGGGACGATGCACAGCTCAGCGAGAACCCCGAACTGGCAGCGATCGCCACCGACACCGACGGCAAAGGGAAAGGAAAAAGTAAGTGAGGGCTGCAGAGACCCAGGCAGTTAACCCCGATGGATCCTCCTTACCTTGCATCTGCATAGGGAGGCCTAAACCTGGCTTCACGCTGACAGTCAGCTACACTTAATGCCAGCAAGCTGCACCAGAAGCTTTTCCTGGAGCAGATGTTTAGCACAGCCAAGCAGCTTAACCCCTTGCACGCCAGGCCAGTCTGCCTTCCCCCGGCCCAGTGTTTTAACCCATTAATATCCCAACAGTTGCAAACAGAGCTGCACTTCGAAGATGGGCACTATTCAAGTGCATTCAGGGGGACACACAAATCTGCAGTATGCTTCACGGGGTTGCTTTCCCAAGTGTCCAATAATCATTACCCGGATGACTAGATCACCCTGGCCGAGCAAGGCGGAGGCACCGAGGAACAGAAAGGACATCGCTTCGGTTTGGAGCAATGCGACTCGAGGGACCACACTTCTGTCTTTCTCTCAGTCACGCATTTCCTATGGGTGCTGATTAAACCAGATTATTTCCGGTATTTCTTGGCTTGAACGCACAACCGTGCAATCTCCAACAGGCAGAAATACCCACAGCTAAAGCAGGACCTGGGGGGTGGCAACGGTTCTCCCTGGGGACAGATGCTGCACGTGGTTCACCACGCGAGCCTCGGGTATCCAGAGTTTAACTCCTGTGTCTCAGTCCTTTCCCTCTGGAGTTGGTGCGATACATCTATTTAATCACATTTAGTTAAAGGCAAGCTGCTTAGGAGACACAAGAAGCGCATGTGCTCTCCAGGACCCGCCTTGCGGATGCAGGCTGTGCTGCGTAGGAAGTTACTCCTCTACGGCCCAACTGTTCAAAACGCAGAGGAGAAGCTTCTCTGCTGCAGGAGGTTATGTGATAGCTACAATCAAATTAACGGGGAAATCAGGAGTACGTGGCAGTGCTTGGGGGAGACACCCCGGAGCAGTCAAGGCTGTCCCTTGGGAAAGGGGGAAGGTGGGACAGCCCAGACCATGTGCTGTTTTGGACCTCGCCGGCGGAGCTGGGGAGGAGAACAGCCAGAGCTGCTTTTCTCTTCCTCCGAGACGGCCGTGAGCTGCAGAGCAAAGGCACTCGAGGGCCACTGCTCCTTTAGGTGCATCCAGGAGAAAGGAGCAGAAGAGAGTGCCCAGGTGTGGCACCCTTACACCTCAGCAGGGACACGGGCTCCTTCCAGACAGCACCCGAGCGGCCACAACGGTGACTTGTCCAGGTGACAAGAGAACTACAGCGACGCTCCCGCCTGGGCGGCAGAGAGTCATATGGTGTGGGAGATGACAGGTCTCGACGGGTAAAGGAAAGTGGTTGAGAAGATGAATAACAAGAGGTGGGGAGAGGGCAGCAGGAGAAGGGAGACAGACAGACAGACCAGGTCAGAAAAACAAGGAGACAGTATAAGGGACAGAAAGAACAAAAAAACCTTGAAGAGCAGGAAGGAGGAAAAGAAGAGCACAAATTCAAAACCAAGAAACCATCTGACACGATCAGTCTAAAGAAGATGGCCCAGCCAGAGCAGGAAGGGAGGCAGAAGGCAGGCGCAGCGCCGGCAGCAGGCAGGGGCCGGACCGTGCCTCACGCGGCAGACGGAGCGGGGCAGGGCAGCTGCCTGCGCCCGCCATCCCGCGCAGGGAGCCAGCGAGGAGGCTCGGACCGGGCAGACACACAACTACAGCAATGCGCACGGTGCCTGGCGCGCTACCCACACCCCGCTGGTCCTGCTTCGTGTCACTCAGTGAGACGATACAGACCTTGAAAAACCCCAACCTTAGGACCACACTGGCTTGCGAAGATGAGCTGGTTCAAACTCACTTCAGCATGACAACACCGAGCCTGGTTTTCCTCACTTTGACTTGACCAGGGAGTTTTCCGAGACAAAAGTGGTTTTATCTACAGGATTTTTGGAGCGGCAGGAGGTAGAAGTCACAGTGAAGTCCTCCCCAATCTCGATAAAGCCTAAGCAACCTGACAAACCAGTGTGTAGCTTCTCACTACTGGAGAACATGTGCACGCAATAGAAATGAGTGAGCCAAATGTATTAAGATCAGAAATGAAACCAGTTTTCAGTTAGACATGCCAAGCAAAAATCTAACCCAGCTGCTCTTGTTCACAAGCAGCTTCCTCTGCAGTTTAAACCCAGTAGAAACCCTAACCAGTCTGTATTAATCTTTAAAAGGTTTGTTAAGGCACAGCATGCAAATTTGCACTTCTCCGCAAATTTCACTGCAATTGTTAGAAAATCTTAAAATAAAGGGAAGAATGAAGGAAACGCAAACTTTAACTAAAGAACCGTTCACGGTGTCACCACCACACTGAAACATTCCCAGTTTTACAGGACAGACAGCCTCAGGTATGCGCTGAATGAAGGCTGCAGAGGAATGCTGGTACCGATCAGGACGGGGGCTATCTGAGCATCTCGCTGAAGGCAGCAGCTAAACATGACTTTGTAGTCACCAGTTGCATAATCTCTACCTTCAGCTATCTGATGAGCGCTGGGAGGGGGCCGCAGGATTAGCCTAGGACAGAAGAGTCCTCTATCTGCAGGGCTTAGCTCAGCCTCAGCTTAACTCCTGGCCCTCCCCCTGCTCCCACCGGCAGCGCCATAAATCGCGGGCGCTGGGGGATCCCGGGGTCAGCAGCGACGGCCGCGCTTGCCGCCGGGCACGCCGTGCCACGGCCGGGCAGGCTGGGGCGGAATTAGGGAGCCATGAAACCACTGGCTTACAGACACGGCAAAGGGCAGACGAGGAGGCTGTAGGTTGCTGCGGCATCGCGGCGCAGCACCCCAGCCCGCGGCGTCCCGGGGCGGATCCCAGGGCTCCCTCCTCACCATCCCGCTGATGGCCAAGGATGTAAATGAGGGCTCATTTCCAGGCACAGCTTTTTTGTTGTGGGAAGAATAGGGCCGTCGCCTGGCGAACATGGGAAGCCTGGATGATTAAAGCGAGGAGGAATCAGAATCCTTCCCTCGCCTGCCCATCACCCCGCTAGCGGGGCGACGGTGAGGTGGTGTGAATGGCCCCACCGCCACACTAACTGCACATGCCTCCCTGCAGGAACTGTTAATTGGGTGCGTTTCCAGATTAAAATTCACCGTAGAACAGCGGCACACACCATGAACAAAGACAAAGACCTCCCCGGACGAGAGAGGTGCCCGTACCCCCTGTAAACTGCCGCTCAAACAAAACTGGCAGGCAAAAAATAATTACCCACAGAAAGTCTTGGAGTTTCAGAGGTTTAAAAAAATCCTGTAGGAACCGTGACCAGGCCCAGGACGCTCCCCCTGCAGCCCACGGGTTTGCCGGCTCCTGACCTTTGCTATTTTTCACCCTACTTAATGCAAGCGCCTTGTGTAGGCGAAGGGTGGGACGGCCGGGGCAGAACCGCAGCGAACTTTGCAGAAAGAGTAAAGCACAGGCGAATTTAAAGCAGTTTTGCGCTGGGGGTGGTCTGAACTCCCTTAACCTTGAAATTTTATGACAATATCAAAACACAGAGTAAGTATAATAATTCTAAAGCAAGTAGCCCTCCCTCCTCCCTGACTATTACCTCTTGTCTCACCGATTCCTCTGGTTTCAAAAGCCATGCAAGACAACGCCGGTTAAGAAACAAAGCAGTTGATAATAAGTTTTTTCAAATACCTTGCACGTGTTTTATTTCAGAGGGAGAGGGCTGAGGAAGCTTCCCCCCCCTCAATTTTCCTGATGGGTCTTACATTTAACGAACTCATACACGGGATATTCTGGCTTTGTTCTCACAACCCATTGTAGCAGGGGCCACTAAATCAAACAGTTGCTGCTATGACAAAAGCACTCACAAAAATCTCAACCTCATCTTGAACCCTGAAGGTTTTTATGGCTACTCCCTCGCTAACCCCTCCCCGAAGCCACATTAAAGGATGTATTGTTTTCAAAGGTCATGGTAGGTTTCATACCACATTTTAATACAATGTAAATTCTCCAAGAATATTACGATGCTACACAAGAGTCGCAGAAGACGGTGTGAGAAAGAGAAGAAATCTCTACTCATCTATGTTTTATAAGGCAAACGGTAGAAGCAATACACTTATTTTTTAAAAGATTCGCTTTTCCCCTCAGCGAAATGAGTAGTCTTGATAATTTTTTAAAGAAAATTCCAAAAAGAAATACATT